CCACCCATCCAACTTCATTGTTTTCCTTCTACTCAACATAAAGGCTCTCCGTGCCATCTATCCATATCAACACTCCTCCTAAGTATGGGAATTGTTTGAAATGTTTGCTCAATTGTCTAGTTACTGGGGCAGTTACTTTATCCCACCACACCAAGGACGAAGGAGTGGAGGTGTGTTGGTTCGCTAGGTGTTGTGTGTGCGTTTTTGGGCTGCAGCGGCGGCGTTGGAGGTCAAAGCAGCAGAAGCAGCATTTGCCAAAGAATGTCACGCTGAGCTCACTTTAATTAAACGGGAATGATTTATGAGAAATTCGTATTGGTATGCGACATGAATAAGAAATAAGATGTTATGGTCGGATCTTTGTCTTCCAACGTTCTATCTCACTTCGCCTTAAGCTCAACAATGGAGTTGAGATGAGAACTTCGATACGATTGTATTGAGGAGGAATCTCTCTGTGAATCCTTTTGTAGTTGGTTTTGAGGTTATTCGATTATGGGTATTTCAATTTCATTATTTGATATTCATGTTGACACTTTGTGGTAGCCTTTGTTAGTGGTAATGCTAGGCCCAGGCTAGTTGATGGCCACAGACATTGAGTCAAATCCAACTCATTTCAATCGTTTGGCAATTATTTCGAAATGTTTAGCCAAGGTGGAAAATTTGTACATGTTGCCTAATAACCCCAAAAACGAAACTCAATAAAAGAGGGATTTTTTCGGGTTTTGTTCGAATTACCTAAGAATGGAAATTATATAAGGACTTCACCCATGATTGTTAAGAGGTAATACATGGAAATTAAGGAAAATTATTTGGAATATTTTGTAAAGAATATTATTTATGAAGTTTGGTTGATAGGAGTATTTCCTCAATTAGCACTTATTATTCCCCCCGACCTAACCAGACCTATTTTAAGGTTTCATAAAAATTTTCGTGTTTCTCTGATCAGTCTTATTCCAATTACTTAAATATGACTTCAATATCTCCATTTTAACGTCCAATAGTGACGTTGTCAACCATAGGTTATTTACGAAATCCAGTACGTCAAAATCAAAATCAAATGTTTTCAATTACATAATTCAGAGACAAATTTCCAAATTTAATTATTCCTCTACAAAATCACAAACATCTGGTAATTAATGACATTTTCCAACTTAAGTTCTGCAGTAAAATGTTATGTCAATTTCCCAATTACAACTTACCTCGTTATTGCCCCCCTAAAAAAAAAAACACATTTAGGTAAATGCACCACCTACTTATAAGCAATCTAATGTTGAGCTGTGGATATTGATTCAAGCACATCTGTAGTTCTTTCCCTCTCCCCATTCTAATGCTCGTTTCCGTTTCCGCTCTAGCACTTCTTGTGGTCTTTCTGGTAATCATAGTCAATGCTATTACTTCTGGTTTCTTTAACACACTCTACTACCTTGCATTGGAATGATTCTCCATGGATTTTTTACCACTTCCGTTTTTGGATTTGGCCAAAAGATTGCTGTTTGGGTTCGTCGTATGTTGACTGTCTCTTTGCGTGTTGTATTTGGAAATATTTTGACAATTTCAAGGCTTTATTTGTGGATGCAGCAGAAAAAAGACTTCTTGTCGGTGTTGGCTTGGCTGAAAGAAGATTTTTTCTCTTATGACTGTTTTTTTTTGCATGTCTTTACCTTTGCCAGAGTAAAGTAACAAAACTTGTCACCACTATTGCCATAGTAGCATTAAAATCATCATCTCGAATCACCACCACCGTCGCCTGTACCTCCATTATTTGCTTGGATTTCATTGCCACTGCTCGGATTTCTTGTTATCTCCTGCTCATTGTCAGCAGACCGAATTTCAAATAGAATTCGTAAAAAATGAAATGATTTTTGCTTTCACATTTTTGTGCGGTTTTCTTGCTGTGTCTTTGAATGGATTTATGCTGACACATTTCTTTCTGCTTTACACTTCTCTATTCGAGTTGTGGTGTTTTGTTGGCCTTTTTGGTCAAAAATTCACCAGAGTGGAAAATATCCTTGATAATACAATTAAATTTAATTGGATAATAAAAAAATGAATAAACTATGAAAATTATGTGGAATTTTTAAAGACTTTATTTTTTATTGAATATAAATTGTGGGTGTAAAGTATAATAAATTCAGATTTAATCTCTGATGTGTTTACTTTGAAATTATTGATTTAAATTTAATGTGAAATAATAAAATAACGAATTTACAATATACGCACACAATGGCAAATGTTGAAATATATTTAGAATAATGAAATGGTTAGCAGTGATATGCCGCTCAGGCTTTCTTTATTAATTTGTTCCAAATACCAAATACAATTTTGTGTGCTCTTGTTCTTCTTCTTTTTTGCAAAGTCCTTAAGACAATGCCATTGTTTTTAAATTCAAATTACCAAGGGCCAACAATAAATGATTTTCCAAATCCATTTTCTTAATGTTGCCCTAAGTATACGGTATCATATCTCATTTGTACAATGAAATGTTGCAAATAAATAACATTTGTTGTTGTTTGTGGTTTTGTTGGTGCTATTGTAATTGCTGGCATTTGTTTGCCTGCTATGCTGCATTACTTAATTACTTATTTAATTGCGTTGAGAAGATAAAGTATAGTAAACAATAAACTCTACTATTGTATACCATTTGTTGTTATTGTCGATAACAATTATTCTAAGAAGCAATCATTCGAAGCTATTGCAGAAATGAAATTTATTATTATATTGCCAAGTAAGCATGTACAGTGGGTCACAAGGATATGGGATTTATTACGATGTTATGAAGGGAAAACTTTTGGGGACATAAGTATATTTCCGTTGGGGATAATATAATTGAGGACATATTTGTAAAGTCTGGCTTAACATTAAAGAAGTCTGGAAACCTCTAGAATTAATCTTCGGCATGACAAAATGCCCAAACGTGCATGTTAACTTAATACGATCTGTCCTAAATTTTACAGTATTTTAGAGACTTGATACGCGAATTGAAGGAGATCATCTCACACTGTGAGTATTGTTAAGATTGTTCTGACGTTTGTTTTTATTTGGAGATACTTTTCTATGCAACTAACCTGCGGGTACGTCAGCGTATATATTCATCAATTGTTTTTTATATGCTTATCCGCTTCGACAATCATGTAGGGTATTTTTTTATTTAAGAATGAGTCTCTGTACAGAGTATCCTTTGTGAATACCGCCGATATATATTTCAAACGAAATGAATATCACATATATAAAAATAAAAATTCAAAATAGAGGATATCAATTTTTCAATTATATGACAGATATAGTGTTTATATTATAGTACAAAACGAAACACCACATGCCTCCATTCTATGTCATTTTGATTTGCTTTTAAAGATATTAACCATATGACTTTCGTGCATACACACGTACATACTTATTTATCGTGGACATATCAGATAATTTAATGTTTGCACTCATCTTGCCACATGTTAAGCCAATGGCTTCAATTGGCCATAAACAATTTTCAAATTAAACGGAAGTACCACAACTAAATCCATTTGTGCAAATTATCCATAGAATAATAAACAATTTATTGATGGTCTAACCTAAATTTCATCTCTATTTACATAATTAATAAACAAATGACAATTTGAGAGTTGGTCATGGACATGGACACGGCCAAACAAACACAATCTCTATGGCATATTTGTTAAATAACCACATGCAATACAATTGCATGTGTATGTGTGTGTGTAGGTCTGTGTATGTGTATGCATATCAAAGGTAGACAGACAAACTAAGTATAATTTATGGTTAGTGTTATATAGAATTGCAAACACCCACACACACACGTATACATTGGCACGCAAACATTGATGCTCACACGCCTACATTGTTCAAACACAACTTTATAATTAATAATACAAAAAAACACAAGAGTAACAAATGATGAGAGTGGAATTACACACACACACACACTCATATATAGATACATATCAGAGACAAGGGCCAGCGGAAATTCGAATGGAAATAGGAGTGACATCATTCGTTTACATTATTCTCCAATTATATAAACGTTCGACAATGGGGTATTTTAAAATTTAAATTAATTGCCGTAACTTAATACAATCGACAATAATGTAAATAATTAAAATGTTTTATTTTACATTCAGACACATAAACCCCTACACACACACACAGACACTCGACTGATAGCTGCTTGATTACATTATTCGAAATTGCTGTGGAGATTGAGTTAGAGAGTTAGGAGGTCAGTGTTATAATTTTGGCGATTTTGGAATCTTTTAGTGTTGTTTTGGATGCGTCGTTCTTGGATTTTAAATTAATTTTAGTCAATCATTCACTAACCTATTTACTCTTCACCACCACAATGTAGTATTGATGTATGAAATACTCTGCTTATCTTTAATTGGCAGAAAATGTTGAATGACCTACCACCTTGTGATGAGTTTCCTTCAAATCGATTTAGATTTACATACAGCTCCCAAAAATATATTTTTGTCCGACCAAAGAACCAACGTGTTGCCGAGTGACACGAAATTTGAATAGACTTCTTGTATATAAGTTGTGTAGGGTATCATATAGTTGAAGCGTCAAATTCTGTTCCATTCATTATTAATTTTAAAACGCATATGTTTATCCTAGACACATTCATACAACAATAAAAAATTTCAGATATTGATGAGGTTATTCTTAGTTCCGTTTCCGAGTCATTGACTCTGTAACCCTGCCCACAACATAATTACGTAGAGTATACAAATATTCATTACATAGTTATTTTATAAATAACAACGTTTTCTTCCATTCCATTCCGTATTGACAACACTTTTTGTTCTTCTTCTTCATAGCTTTGATTTCAAATCAAATTGTACCAATATAATTAGATGCACCAGGGCAGATATGAAATATTTCAAACATGTGGATTTGTTTAGGGCAAACAATCCATATATATGGAATTTTAATTTGTGACCGGACAAATAATAATGAAATTGTGTAATCTGCAATAGAAGAGAAGTCAATTAGTCTGATGAGTAGTTTATTAAAATTGCATTCAAACTTGCCATTTTCGAAAATGGGCTCTGTCGCTGCTGCTGCTGCAGCTGCCCATGATGATGTTCTATATGCTCCTCATTAGCATATAGTTTTAATATTTCGCTTGTCTCATTGCAAGATGACAAAATGCCATCGATGGCCATCATTGTCAATGTGGTATCCCAGTAGAAGCCAACTATGGACATTGTGCCCATAAAATCTTTGGTATTATCAGCTTCAATGGTGCCATTTATAAATTGTACAGCATGATAAAGCAAAACTATATTTGTGGTAAATATCTTGATCAACATAAAGAATGTGATGTTCTGACATATTTTCAAGATCCGTTTTGACAATTGATAGCATTCGAAGTGCATGTCATACAGTATCCAATAACGCCAAAATATGTCATCTGGATTTTGAGTGGGCGATTTGTGTGACACGATGTGTTGTAGGGATTTAATGATGTAGACAAAATGTAAATACATTCGAAATAGAATTAAATCAAATGTAAAATTGGCATGAAGTAAATAGTAGCTTTGCAGGAGATTGACAATGATCATAAGGACATATGCCTTGCTGGGCTCATTTTGTATTTGTATGAATAGGCTAAACACAAGTATGGCATTGCCATGTCCAACGCAAAATTTGTAAATTGTCTTCGTCCTCACCGATGTCACCTCCGCTTCCATGTATTGCTGCATATCATGGTGTTTGTAGAATTGCCTATATTTCTTTTCGAATTTCCAATAATTCTCACTTAACTCGATGACCTGTTCTCGCCTTAGCCAAATTTCTATGCACATAACAATATTAACGAGAATGCGTGCCATTTTGCCAATATAATAGGTCCACTTCAAGATGAATTTTCCATACATATAATATTCCTCTTGGGCTTCTTCGTTCAGTACAAACGGTGTAGCCAATGGTGTTATTAATAAAAAGAAACATTGGATTACCGCACTGTAGATAATGTAGGGCTTTGAATATTGAAGTTTTCGATCGGATTTATTGTACAATCCTGGCATTAGACCCATTGCCAAGACATAATAGTAATTAGTCCACCAAATTGTTTTCTCCAAACGTTCATTTATCCGAAGTGCCATTCCCTATGGATTTTACTTAACTGTACATTATTTCTTGGCGATTCATAGTTCAACTATCGATTTTATTTGAAAAGGCAGTGATAGTTATCATGTCTACGCATGTGTGTGTGAGTGTGTTGGTGAGCTTAATTAAATATGTAATCGCTTTGACATAATAAAAGGGACATTTATAGCTTGATTAAATTGATGTTCATTGTATTTGTGTAAATATATCGAGTTTGTTAATTAATTTAATTATTATTCGTTTGACTAGGTGAGCCATTAGGTTAACGAGTGTTTGTTTCAAAAAAACGATGAAAATATTTATAGACGAACGAAGAAATTGTAAGGAAGAACAGGTAGTTTTGGAAATATTAAAATAGTTCGATGAAATTTGTTTCAAAAAGAAATCTTTGACTCGTAATAGAGGAACTATAGCTTCTGCACAGCATTCATTTGTGAATGGACCACATCTGGATTTCACAGTGATACATGATCACAATCTATTAAAATATCTTACCACGTTACTATTTCCATTTGATAAAAATTAAAAGCACATTGTCTTCTCTGATTTTCAGGTATATCCTTGATTTTGTTTATTATTTATATATATTCAATAATTTGGTTTGGGGTTTTTTTTATTCAATTTGTTTTTTTTTTGTTTTGTTTTGTTTACTTTTACTTTCATTTTCATCTTTGTTATGTGTCCTAAATGCGTACAATCTTACATTTACAAATAATTACTATGGTAATTATCATCTCAATAATCATAATAATTATCTTACATTCCTAGTTTTATTTGCTTTAAAACTACGTGTACAATCATAATCATTGGCATCTTCTCTAAATTGAAGAGCGCTGCTGTGAGTTTTGAGGGGTTTTCAATCCATGGTTACTCAGTTTCTGTATATATTTCTTTTGTTTTGGTTTGTTTGTTTGTATTTTTTACATCAACTTGTGAGGTTTTGTTTTGCCTGACAATTTCCAATTTACACAACGGTAAGGGCGGGGGCCAAAAACGTATTATTGTTGTTGCTCTATAATATTCCATATAAATTCATAAAATATTTATTCTCTTTCTTCGATTATTTTTTTACTTTTTTTTACTCTATATCTTCGCGTTTGTGTTTGTGTGCAAAAAATATGGTATTTTTTAGAATTTCATTCCACTTTCTTTTTTTTTAATAAAGTTTATTTGTAGCATGTTGTCTATTGTATTCATTTCATTTATTGGATTTTGTCAGAGTGGTGGTTTCCATGTTATTTGTTTTCTTTCTATGAAATTGTTTGCTGGGTTGTGAAGAATCTTCAGGGTTTTCATAAAAACAGACGTTGATTATTGCAAATTAGTTTTTTTATTTTAAATTTGTTGCTTTAATTAAAATTAACTTTTTGAAAGTTAAAATTTCTTTGTGGGTCTTGGTCATGTTGTGATCAGGTGGCGTATGATAATTGAAATGAAAATTTCAATCATACATCACCATGGACCTTTTGCTCAATTGGAGATTTATTCTAAAATCTTTCGATTTGTTTCTGGCGGCAAATAAAGGCAGTATTTTGTTTTACTAATAAAAAATAACTAAAATTACATTTAAAAATGCAAATTCCATTGTGTAGGAAAAATTCCGGGTGTAATTTAGGATTTTTTTGTTTTATTTCCCGTTTTTTTGTTTGTTTTTCTTTTTCTGTTAAATTGCTATTGTTTCAATTCAAACTATTTACTAAATAACTTTATTAGTTGTGTATAAGGAAGTGTGTGGGTGTGTACTTCTCTTCTGTGTGTTTTTGTATAGTTTTGTTTTTCTTAAGAAAAGTTCAACAAATTCGTGTAAATGACAAGTGTTTTGCTTATTTTTTTTTAAAGAGTGGGGCCTTCCTTTTTAATATTTACTTGTTGAATCCTTGTGCTTGGACCCTCGACACATCAAACGCAATATTAGAACTATTAAAACTATTATCGATACTAAAATAGCTGAAAAGAAGGCAATTTCTCCAACGGTCATCGCTCTACGTTGATATTTTTTCACGCACAATATGGCCGATTCGTCATCGAGAAGTTTACTACTCAAGTGCTGTGGTTGATCCTTGTGTATGTGCCACAAATCCAATTGCTCCAAATTCCATTGCAAATGCTGTGTGAGGTCTTCCAGTTGTGTTGAGGTATGACTTGCATTGGGGCAATTCTGTATGCCATCGCAGACGAAACGTTGTGGTAGGCAAATGTTGGGATTGCCAGGACACTTAAAACTGCATTCATTATCTTGTAACAGTGAGGCGGCTAAACTGCCATCTGGGTTGCGTGGTAAGTGGAATAATTCGGTCCACACCAAGCGGAAGATGTTCTTGCCAGGCTGCCCATCTCCGGTGTATTGTATTAGTACAGGCAATGGTTCTTGATCCGAACCCAAAGCACCCAAATCTGCCGTTGATAGTATGGGTAAATCTCGAGCCAATGATACATTTTCAGGACATATAATAAATCGGGGCTCCAAACGTCCTGCCAAATAAACTTCGATTTTAGCACTGTCGCAAGTGCGGTCACCAAATCGCGCCTTTTCCAAATTCAGCCAAAGATCCCTCTGAGAAGCAACTTTCAGTTCCCAAATGCATTTCTCTCGCCTATAGTGATGCTCGGGTTGTGCTGCCATGGGACCCGTTACCAAGGCCAAAGCCTTCTTATAGGGATATACCAATTCACCATCGGGTGAGGGACCCAAAGTAATGGGGCCACACAAAGGTCCATGAGCAAATTCATATGAGGCTTCGAACAGTGGATTAGGGTTCTTGAAATATGAAGTTATGGCATGCTGGCCTTGTACTATCATTTCCAAATTCATTTGATCTGCCGACGAGATAACCCGCACTGGCCGTGGAATGTTGTCACAGAAGCAGGCCAAATTATTCTGGAACTTTTCGCGTTCCTCCCAAATGACCAGCTTATCTACTCTCTCCTCGTGGCAGCGCGTACAGGCATTGTTATTATAGGGCAATTCCTTGAACATTACCGAACTAACTTCAATCACTGCTCGGGCATACAGACGACGATCGGTTACAAATTTATATTGACATCTGACGTCCGAGCCGCCAGTTCGCTTGAAGATCAACGAATTCATGGGTGAACGTATCTTTCCTCCGGGATGTTTCCAGGCGTACATAACTTCATCGCACAGAGTATTTGGAACAGGATCACCAAATCGGGTGTTATTAAAGAAATCATAATGAGCCCAAAAGTACAACGATGACCCGCTGTACGAACCAGTTTTCGATTCGAATTGTACAAACAACGATGGACTCGTACTTACAAAGTCCACTTTTTCCATGGGCCTTGAGAAGGTATCGCAGAATGTCTTAATAATACGAGCTGGATCGGCACGATCTGAATCATAAATGGTCAACGATTCTCCACAATCTTCATCATACTTCAAAATGGGTGATTCGATGCGGTTTATGCGGAAACTGTAACGAAACCAAACAGAAGAAGACGAAACAACATAAATAAATTGAATTGCAATGCCAGGCGAAATGTAAACATATTTTTTGAAGAGGAACTTTGTTATCCTTGTGAGTGTGTGTGTGTGTGAGAGAGTTCCAAATGTGTTTTTATAATTTAATCTGATTTCCTAAACCTAAAAACCTCAAACATATTACAAAACAAATACACACATATACATAGGTATTTTCTCTCACTTGGCCATTTTTCCGTATGAACTCACACTGAAAAAACAAACACACATACAGACCCAGACACATCCACATACATTCAAAGAAAGAGAATCACAATGATATGCCAAGGAAATCCTTCTATATCAAACTGGCAAACCGCCAACATAATTCAAAACTACATTCGCTTTTCATATTCACAGTTATGGGCTCAGGTAGAGTTATAACAAACACAGCCACAGCAACAAAAATGGAAAACATAATCCTGTACTTCGCTTATTTAACACTCAACTTTCCAAAAAAAAAGAAAAATATATTAGGAAAAGCAGTCAAAGTGACACGGGTAAAAATAACATCCATATTCTGTTCAGGGTGGTAGTTCTATAGAATACCATATGTTTAGCTTACTTTCTTACTGTCTTACTTACTTACTTAAATGTCAATGTTTAGACAATGTTTTCTTTTTTTCAAAAATTACTATTCGTTCTCTTATTAAATATCATTACTTAATGACAATGATTTCTTCTTTTCAAATATTACTATTCGTTTTTTCTTTTGTTCCTTCTTTTTTGCATTTTTGAATATTTTCCCTCTGTAATGTACGCTTCTGTCGCTTATCATCTATTCATGTTTACAAGAAAAATCTAAAAACAACACAAGCAAAAAACAATGGCAACAACAAAATTTGGAAAATAGAATTTTCCAAAAAATTGTATAACTCTTAAGCTTTCCTCACATAGTCATGTTACTGAGCTTAAGCTAAATCTTCAACGTATACACACATACATACACAGAGAGGAACACGGACAAAAACAGATAAGACCAACCATAAACATAAGGCTAAGGTGATCATTTCACTCAGCGGTTTTACAACGACCAAACAGCAAAATTGCAAACTCTTGAAACAAGTATTGGTGTAGATGCAGCAACAACAACACCAACTAACCAATGCAATGCCACAAAAAGGGGGTGACAGCAGGACCCTAACGATGTAGCCGAGTTAAGAGTAGGCCAACGTTGTTTTAATGTACTAAACCCCTAGAATGGAATACTCGTAGCGGTTATGATAGCGGTAAGACTCGTTAGTTTGCCCAGTACAAATGTAATCGGTAAATGTGTCAGCTTAACTTGTTTGTACAAACAACTACAGTTAAAGCTACATTTCTATACACTCTACAAATACATGCTACATATGTATGTCTATGACAGAATTATATATCTCTTTATATATATGTGTGTGTGATTGTTTCACTGTGTATTATTCCCATATTCATGCATGTGGATTATAAGGACATGCCGCAAGGCAATGCCGTGACACAAAGTCTTTTATGCCACTTTTTGGTATTCGGATTTGTATTTGTGGGTGTGGTGTTTTGTTGTGAGCGACGAGGTAGCGAGCGAATGAACGCCATGCCATGAATGTGCTAAGACACGTTGCATGCCACCAAATGTAGGCGAATGTTATGTACGTTCTTGCCGTAAATACAATATTTTCATTCTACTTCTTTTTATTCCAATTTTCATAGAATTTTCTTTCGTTATTGTTCAAGGGTCGGTTGTGGGGGTTGGTGGATAAACTGGAGCACAAATAAAACCGAAACGAAATTGTGCTGTAACAGCATAATTTCGAATATGTTTTCCTCTTGTCGTTGAGTAGAATTTCTTCGTCTTTAGATTTCCCAATTTTTTGTATAATTTTTGTTGTTGTTATTGCTAACTATGGGAAGTTCTATTCTATTTTATTTTCTTCAACATTTCAACAGCTACGTCTCTTTTTTGCACAATTTTACTTCGAATATTTGTAGGCGTAAGGTATGAAAATAATTTTATTAGCTTGATTCTTTTACATATATATTTCGGAATATACTTATGTATATGTATTTGGAGCTTGAGATAGATAAGTTATTGTTAAACGAGGGACAGATAACAGAAATTAGGAAATTGTAATGATCAATTGCCTTGGCCGAATTAACTGTAAAAATTTCTCACTGTCAATTTAGGGAAGTTTTAGGTTATTAGGTTTCCATAGAAGAATTCGGCATGTATTAGAAGAGAAAATATAATTTTCCTGGTATTAATTAATTAATAAATTTACAAAAAAAAAAAAAAAACTACAATTCGTGGGAGACCTTTTGAGGTAATTTTCGACCACTTTTTTTTGGCAGATATTGGGCGGTATCTCTATAACTTGACGAATGTAGGATTCCTTGTGCTCAAGAGTAGAAGGTTTATTCGCGTAGCCCCATAAAAAGTCAAATCGCTTCATATTGGTGGCCCGTTGATATCGCCACGACGAGAAAATATGCGGCCAGAAAATGTCTCTTGCAATAACCGGCACCGTCTCTGGCACCGTATTGTGGAATCTACATATTCTTCAATAGAAGGCCAAAATGTCGTTTAACATGTGACGATAGCGATTCGAATTGACCAAACAGAGATTTTTTCTCGATGTAATGGCCTCTCCTTCAATTACTTCATGATTCTCAGGACAATAAATACGACAATTTTGTTTGACAGATGCCAAATTCCATTACATACTTTTGAAACCACGAAATGAATAAATGTAAAAAATTTTCAATATTCAATTTTTTGAAACGAAATTACTCTAATCTACAAAAATGTGGTTCATCAAAATATCGGCAGCAAGGTCTATATTTCGCAAATTCTTTCCAAATCAAATATATATTTGTTTTATCCCCTCTTGTATATAAAGATTTGTGCTGGTATATTTATAGGACCAACTGATCCACAAAGTAGGATAGCCATTTTTTTAATTCTAAATGTATGTTCATATAATTTAGATTCTCTTCCTGGCGGCGTGTATAAAATATTCAGCCCATTTCATATATTGTGCTATCAATGGATCATCATCTATAGATAAACATTGTATCTCTGAATCTGTAGCTATGGAAAATAAAATTCTCTGTATATATGCATTTCCTAGTAATAGAATGACTTTGTTTGAAACTTCATATTTTTTGAAAGGTGAATGAATATAAATGTTCAGTTTATGGCCTTGTGTTGCCTACAACTGAGACTGAGACAAATACATAGATATCAATGTCTTTTGCGCATAGCGGCCCATATAATAAAATATTTTGTCATATTTTATTAGTCAGGCCCAAATGTAATTGTATCCAATTTTGTGATTATGTAGTCTTATGTGTTTTTTTCTTTCATTTCTATTTCTATTTGTTTTTTTTTTTTCATTTTACGGCAGTTATTCAACAATTTTGTTATTACTGCACACAGCAGCAGCAACAACAAAATATAAAAACCCAGAAATTGTGTCTTTTGTGAGATGCTTTGTATGTGTCACACGACCACAGGCAATTGAATGTGTGTTACAATCCCTCAGGCCCACGGAATATGAATGTATGGGAGTGTGTGTATGTGACGCGTATTACCTACAAATACGTGAATTGTTTAAAGAGGTCTGGAAAGTTTTATATTGAGAGGATATGTGGCAGTTAAATAGCAAATACTGCAACACTGTCGTTTTGTTGAACAAAAAGTCACGGGCCTTTGCTGTCTGTCTGGCTCTCCTGACTATATTCCCCCATATGACACGGACACATACATACCAGCAGAACATTTCACAGCTGATATTACTTTTTGAGGCTTTTTATGATATGCAGAGTTTCGTTTATGTCTTTTCATCTCTTTGTACTGTTTGTGAACCATTCATCCCATTTTTATTATTATTACGATTATTACTTTTTTCCAGTTCTGTTCTCTTAACTTTTTTTGCTGTTGTTGTTGTTTGGATTTTTTTTTTTTTTGCAAAAAAGCGAAAAATGTAATTGAAAAAGTTTTTCTATTAATTTTATTAAATTCCATTTTATCAAAGAGGGGATTTATGCTACAGCATCGTGTGATATGTGTGTCATACGTTTACATGTTTGCTTGTGTGTTTGTGTCTATTTCTATGCGTGTATGTGTATGACGACAAACAGCAAGCAAATGCCATTGGTATGGAAATGTAATAGCAGCAGCAGCAAAAAAGAAGAGACATTATTATGTGTGTCTCTTGTTCTTTTTTCTGCCGCTGTTTGTTAGAAAAAAAGTTTACCGAGTTATATAATGGAAATAAAATGACTTTTTCATAGAGGGAAATCAATTCAAAACTTGATTTATTTCTGTAGTTTCTTCCTTTCTAATCTACTTCCGTTCGTACAGCAGTGATTTATTTCCATTTCAATTGGCATCGATAAAACGTTGTCGCATTTTAAATTTATATCTCTTCGTGGCTGTTCATTCATAATCGGCCTAAAGTTTCATCATATCGCAATGATTGGGAAATTGTAATTCTTATAAATATTAAGGATAATATATTATTTAAATACACCAGCCTAAATGCTAATAGGTAATATATATTTGCATTTATTTTTAAAGCAATCACTTAAAGTTAAAAACAGTTTTCTTCGTAAACTTTGTTTTTCCAATTTTTTTAAATGAATAGAAGAATAATTTACGACTTTAATATATTCTTGTTGTTTTTCAGATACAGAAGTTCACCTATATATACACGCGAGCTTGATTCTGCCTTGCACATTTTCCGTGATGTCGGGACACTGTTCCATTGTGGGGAATGCAATTGCGAGAATGATTGTGTCACCGCTGGAAATCCATTCAGTTTAAATCAAAATTGCTTGGTTTGGATCCAGACTAACCAACAAACTCAGTTTGCTACGTAAATATGAGTAGAAAATATAGACTATCTACTGGTGTTCTAGATGCTCGAATGCATGAAATTCAACTTTCAGTCCTACCACGTATTCGAAATATTATTTCAG